CTCATTCTCTCCTCTTTCTGTTATTTCACTCTTCTTTTGGTCTGACTCCCATTCTTTTGCCTCTCTGTCGCCCTGCCTTATCGCTCTCTCTGTCGCCAGCTCCTTCACCCCTCTCTGCGATTCCTCCCCCTTTCTTTTCTCTTTACTGCCCATGATGGAAGCTCCAGGTGGACCAGAGACTCGAGCTTGATGGAAATGTTTATCCAGAGCAGGGCAGCTCATTCGAAGGTCGTCTTTGACATTCTAAGCAGATAAGCAATGGTGCCGTTATTGTTTATGTGTGTGGCTCTGCAGGTTCGGACACTGTGCCTGAGATCGGAAGGTCGCTGGCTCAAATCCCAGAGTCGGCAGGGTGATGTTGCCTCTTAACCCCCTCGATTGCCCCAGGGACCGTCTGACCCTGCTTTCTCAACAACTTGCATCATTTTGCATAATAGCTTCTGCTAAATAAATCAGATGTAAAAGAACAAGACAAACCTTAGTCCTGTAAATAAGCGACAGTTTTTTGCATAATATTTTTATTTATGTGCAGTTACATATCCGTTTTGGAGGTTCTCTGATCCCCTGTGATATTAAAACCCTGCTCTAAATAGCTGTTCATTACATAATATGCCTAATAGTTATATATTAATCCCATCCAGGGTTTGAGGGCCATGAATCATGCCCCTGGCTCTCTTTCTGGAATTTGCATGTGCTTTCTCTGGATACTCCCTTTTCCTTCCACAGCTCATGTTTATTTGGTAGGTTGAAATGGTGTCTGCAGATTACCTTTGTACCATTAAAATGTATACAGTTAGCTAGTGTCTGCGCTTGTGTTCTTGTTGCATCACTGCTCTGTCAGCTCTTGAAGGCAGATCTGAGTTTTGCTTCCTTCTTCAAAGGCATCGATCTCTTCAGGGTTTCAGTGGAGGCTGTGAATTCGGCCCTTTTAGTGTCACGTCTACCAATGGGAGGTGTATGTGTGTGAATATGTGCCCCATGGAGGGGGTCCCCTGCTTTGTGTCCTGTGCTTCTTGAAATAGGCTTCAGCCCCCTGTGAAACTCTAAAGTAGAAAATGGATGGATGGATGGATGGATGGATAGATAATAACTTTCAAATAGGGAATTTCCTGTTTTTTTTCTTCTTTCCCCAGTCTGTTCTGTTCAGTAACCCGACCTTATACTCTGTGACCTTGATAGCTTAACGGGAAGCAGAGAGCAAAACATCTGTTCGGTTCATTCCCAGTATGCACGAGCACAACCATGTGAGTCATCAGCCAATAGGGGCAGCTTGTTCGAGTGGAGTGGAGAGTCACATGTGCATACATGTAAATGAAACTGCATGGACGGGTAGGTGACACTGATGTTGGTAGCAGCCCTAAATTTCCTTTGGGTTCAGGAAAGTATCCATCCATCCATCCATCCATCTATCTAATCTAACATCTGATGGCATATCGATCAGCGAGGTTCAAAGACCAGTGGTGCTGTGGTCCCAATGCCGTCCATCTTATGGGTTTAAAATTTGGACTGAAACACTCTCAGATCTCCGTACATTCTCTGTCAATGTGTCTCTAGTAGTGGAGCTGTTTTATTCCATTGAAATCCTTCAAAAATGCCAACAAGACCTCTGCCAACTCAGTGTTCCTCAGGTCCCTGGGCCACCTGGATGGATGTTTTGTCTTCTTACTCGTTCACTTTCAGCACTAAGCTTGGCACCTGGCCCTGAATCGTGAAAAAATCTCTTCACATATTTTACGGAAATGTTACTGTTAGAAAGGTTTACAGGAGCAACCAGGAGATAACAGGAGAAACACAGCGAGAAGCTTTTAAATCTCTCTACGTTAAATATGTGTCTCTCTACGTCTACTCTTATACACTCTACAGTGGTCCCTCCTTTTCAGACACCATAATTATGTTTGTAATTCAGCTAGTGAAGGGTCTGACATTTTGGTTTCTAATTTGATTTCTCATAAGGTTGCTTTTGTATTTTAATTCCTAGATATATTTATATTTGATATAAATATGAAATATTTCCCTGCCCTTCGCTGAGCAGACAGACAGGGTCCAGCCAGCTCCACCCCATGTTTTTACTGATGGCTGTGCTGCTGGATCAGGTGTGTTTGGCTGGGAGGGCGGGGCCAGTGGTGGGGCGGGGCCAATGTCGGGGCGGAGCAGCATGAGCCCTCCTGGCTGCCGGCTATCAGGCCGAGCCTGTGCGGCCCATTAACCTTAGCGTTAGCCTCGCTGTTATTAAAGGACGTCTGGGAGCTCAGGATGTACCGCAAAGAGCCCTGTTAAATAAAGTATGACTGATAGCATAACCCTGAGTTAAACTAATAATAATACCACGGCACTGTCGAATTCTTGAATCTGATTGGTCAGAAGGGCGTCAGTTCATTTTCAGTGACTACACATGTAGTGCCAGTCAGGTGAGTCACAGAAGTAAATCAATGTGTGGTTATAATCTTTAATTCCAGGTAGCACTGCTTAAAATTCCAGACATAGAATGCAATTAAAAATTAAGGGAAACGAAACGGAAACGTTTAATTATTGACCAAAAAAAAGTTGCTCTACTAATAAATGTATTTTTGGCATGAAAATAATGCCTTTAACTACAAATGTGAGTTAAATTTGTCTGCTGTGCATCGGGTGGTTAAAAATATAAATCGCATGGCTTGTTGTGCATTAACCCAGTAGGTCCGGAGATGACGGGAATGTGCAGCGCTAGCAGGTTATGAACACTGCTGATGATGATGTGTGCACAGGGTGGTGGGTTTTCAGATGACACTTGTTTCATTGCACTTTTAGGGTTACAGCTAAATCTTTAGCTAGTATTCAGTTTCAGAAACTGGGCTGTTGGCAAATTGTTTTTTGTTTTTTTTTTTGGTTTAGTTTTCTTACATCTTATTATAATGTTGGTTTGTTCCATCTATGTATCTAGGTCACATGTGTTTAGTGATGGTCTTGGGAGAGTCATAGTGGTGCAGCGAACAGCATTTTATTCAAAGCAACAAACATTTTGAGAAAGCAGGGTCAGGGCCTTGCTCAAGGGCCCACTGGTGACATCACTCTGCCAACCATGGGATTTGACCCAACAACCTTCTGACCACAGACATATCCTTAACTGCTGAGCCACACACCAGCCTATACGTGTGCTCAACTAGAGGCTTGAACCCACATCCATTGGCCCATGAGTAGCTGATCCCTAAGCAGTGGAGCTGTCCTACTAATGGTGTTGGTTGCCTTGAAGCTTCAGGGTCCTGGGTTTCATACTCAGTCTAAGCTTGTCTTTCCTCTGCCTGTTATTTCATGTGCTCCGCCCCCCTGCAGTTGTTCAAAGATGCAGTGCAGGTACACTGGAATGCTTTCCTTGGCCCGACCCCATCTTGCTCACCATACCTTATGGGTCACATTGCAGGGTCAGCCAACATGTGGCATCCCTGGAGATGGATGTTACGGGCCTTTGTCAAAGGCCCACGGACATGTGACTGTTCAGAGCCCAGGACTTGAGCTGGTGACCTTCTGATCACTGTGACAAAGACTTAGCCCGCTGAGCCATTCACTGCTACCTGCCTTGAGTAGTGTGCTTCCGGGGAATAGCTCAAGGCTGCCCCCCCCCCACTGGATAAGTGGCTATGGATGGTATGACTATCTATTCTGCCTGTGCTGGATCAGGCCCATCTGCGGGTACAAACAAAGGTGCGTTTGTTTAGTCGTGCTACAAACACTCACAAAGAGCAAAGGTCACTCTGCGGAGGAGATGGCAGATAGAACTACCACCTGAGCTTCAGAACATGCTCTGTTTTGGTTTTAAATCCATTTCTCAAGGTAAAGGCTCTGTTTAATGAGCGTTTGGGTAATTGATAGTCTGCAAATTGGATGGTTTGAATAGAGAGAACTGAGGACCTTGTAGCCATGGTGATGAGCCAAGTCTTCACTGCTGAATCACCGTCTTACCATCTGCCCATCCCCCGAAAGTCGTTGCCACGGTAAACGTTGATGCGGCGTCCGTGACATTGCAGTCACATGCCAATGTAAATTTGAATCTCGGTGCATCCAACTTCAAAAGCTGCTACTGCCATATGCCGCAGGCCCTTACAGTCACCACAGCGAGACGCCAGCTAGCATTAAAACAGGAAAAACAGCAGAAGTGCAGGGAGCAAACGTCTCTAGCGGCAACTTGATAAAACGGAGCTGAGAGGGGAATCCATCTCTCCTGTCGGGGTTGACGTGTCCAGATCGTGGTCCAGGGGACTGGAGTGTCAGGACCATCCGTCTTCCCTGCCCTCACAAATCCACACTGCTTACAATAATCATTTCTTTGCTTGGCGCAACTACGTAGAGGCGCCCGCTGAGTAAACACATCATTCTATCAATATAAAGGTTTTTTTTGTCACTTCCGTTCTGGTCCTGTTATACTTGCCGTTGATGTGCTCTGTCCTGGGGGGGGGGGGGGGGGGCACAGGGCTGGGAGTTTCTGCTTTTTTGGAGGCGAGGGAGCGATGTTGGATAGCCTGGAGATGATACTAGTATAGTGCAATTTGAATAATAATAATTGATGCTTTATTGATCCCCTTGGGGAAATTGTCTTTTCGCCTCCCTCAACTTGCTCTTTGTAGAGTAAGCTGTCTGTGAAGGGCAGCCACTTGTTGGGGCGCCCAGGGAGCTGGGGGTTAAGGGCCTTGCCCAAGGGCCCGCAGACGTGCTGTGGCGGGGTTTGAATCAGCGACCTTCTGATTACAGGCACACAGCCCACTGAGTCACACGCTGCTCCCATATAAGAAGACTGTCGTAATCGAGAGGTTGGTGAATGCAGTAATTAAGTGCAAAACTATAATGTTTTATAGTTCTATCAGTGCCGCAGTCTGGGGAAGAAGCATATCGAACAAAGCGTCACGCTAACACATTGCAATTAGCATTCCTGTGTGCAGACTAATGGACCTTCTGCTGGTTCTGCATGCCTGACTAATAACGCCTTCGGAAATACCAAGCTAACAAGGTTCGTGTTCTGTTGTTCCCAGGCTCGCTGCCGGTGCTGACCACAAGAGCCAGGTCTGAAACAGCAGTCGCTGACCGTGGTCCTGAAGCCACTGGCTGCTGACCGGGAAGACCACCACCAGACCCGTATGCTTTTGAAGCATCGCTAGGACAAGGCCGGCGCAGTTTCTAAGGGGCACCAGCAGAGGTCAGGCTTTGTTTACCCTTGTCTTTCAACATGGATGACGGCTACAGGGACAGAACCGCCTTCATACGGGGCGCCAAGGACATTGCCAAGGAGGTGAAGCGGCAGGCAGCGAAGAAGGTTGGGCGAGGAATGGACAGAATGACCGACGAGTACTCCAAGCGCTCCTACACGCGCTTCGAGGAGGACGATGACGACGACTACCCAGTGCAGAGCCAGGACGGGGGCTACTACCGTAGTGACAGCCGGGCCAACGATGACGAGGGGGCCCATAGCGACTCCACTGAGGGCCACGATGAGGATGACGAGATCTACGAGGGCGAGTACCAGGGCATCCCGCGGGCAGACTCGGGCAAAGAGGACGGCCAGCTGGGCGGGTCCGGGGTGCCGGCGGGCGCTCAGTTCCGGGACTTTGGCGAGACGGCGGGCGAGCGCCGGAAGGATCAGGAAGAGCTGGCGCAGCAGTACGAGACCATCCTGCAGGAGTGCGGCCACGGCCGGTTCCAATGGACGCTCTACTTCGTGCTGGGCCTGGCGCTCATGGCCGACGGCGTGGAGGTCTTCGTGGTGGGCTTTGTGCTGCCGAGCGCTGAGAAGGACATGTGCCTGTCCGAGCCCAACAAGGGCATGCTGGGTAAGAAGCCCTCTGCCGCCGTTTGTCCTCTTCTTCCGAGGAAAGCGGATTGTCCTTGTTAGCAAGGGAAGTTCTCTAAATTCAAAGAAAATGGTTTCGAACCCGGCAACACAAAACAGATACACGGTGTCAACCATGGCTGATAAAACAGAGCTGGTGCAACAATTTCTTTTTAAACTCCGCCCTAATAGCACTCACAAGTCACAAAACCGTTCAGAATCAGGGCTTACTGACTTAGAAATGCAGATTAAGCTTGTGCATAATGAAGAGAAGTTAAGAATCTGTAGTCAATTATACACTCCTATGTGATGTGCAGGGATGCTCTAGTTGTACGTAAAAGCTTAATGTCTATCCATCAGCAGATACATCCAAGAACATACCTACTTCTGCATTGTCAGGTGATTGTTTAAATCTGACAGAATGCCTGGAAACTTAGTGGGGGGGAGGTGGCGTTAAACAGGTGCACACAGCGGGCTTTATGGACAGCTCTAAGCCTACAAACACGGTGTGTCACCCCCCAAGCGAGGAAATGGTTTGATCCACTCCAGCAGTGATGTACTAACACAGACATGAATCACTGATAAAAGGCACTAAACAGCCCATCGACATATTGACAGCGTGATGGAAGCGTTGGTCGTACAGTCACACGATAACATGCAGGGGTGTTAGTGCTCATGTCCTGGTGCAGCTTCGTCAGGGTGAAATGGAGCTTGTGGCAGGAGACTTAAATAATTACCCTTCGTATTCCAGCGGTGGGGGGGGGGGGTCCGGGGGGTTTACAGCCCCTCTAATAGCATGGAGATCTGTGCTCATATCATAATCTTTACCGTTTCATAGCAGAATGAGTGAATATTAAGCCTCTGAGTCATTTTATGTGGCAGATTGTGTTTGAATTCTGCTTTATAATCTCTGTAATGTCACTAGCATGAAATGAACAGATTTTTAAATTAAACATTTAATACAGTGGTATTATTTGTTAACACTTTGTAGATCCATTAGTGAACATGCACTAGAGTTTACAACAATCAGCCTAAAATATGTTATGATTGTAAATATTCAGTAATATTACTGGTTTATTCCTATGGTAAATATAAATCTTTTTAATATCAGAACTAAGATAACTGTAAATTAATATGGATTAGGGATTATTTGTGCATAAACAGTACATATTGTGTCTTTCAATTATTTCATAATTATTTAATGATTCCAAAATATGTATCATTTCGGTGATAAGCAACATGAATGACTCATTTGTATTTAAGGCTGTTTTTCATAAATGTATTTGTATGTGTGTGCATGCTCACTTGTGTGTGTTGTGTGGGTGTGTAGGTGTGCGTCTGTGTGCCTGTGTCTCTACCCCAGTCTCTCCCCCGCAAGGCTGTTTGCCAGTGATGTCAGAGGCCCCATTATACAACACAGCCAGAGTTCCCCGCACCTGCCCAGGTTATCACACGCTTCTGGGTCCTAATGCATGCCACCCGCCATGCTACAGGAGGGTACTCTACATCAGCAGGGCCGTTAAAGCTTATTCTCCCAAGTTAGAGGCCAATACCATCTTGGCTATAGTAGCAGGACTAAAACAGAACAAATGTCTGACCAGTAAACAAATTGCAGGCGCATACCATTGTATACTCACTCGCTTGAGTTTAGTGTAAGAATATGCTGAGCGTTTCCATTTGCGTGGAGAAGTGTTTCATGGTGTTTGGACAGCGGAGCGTGCGGAGGAAATGGAAATGGAGAGGGAAATTACACAAACATTAAAAATAAGGGAAACTGAAAGGAAAACAGCAAATGACTCATTTTCTTTTCTGTCGGATGGATGAATCCGGTAGTATAGTCACAGTTGCGCTTGAGAGGATGTTTTTTTCAAATTTGCATGCATGTAGGTTCTTTTTGTGCGTCCTCAGTATGATTTTGGCTGTGAAATCCGCAGTGAGGAGCTCTGTCGAGTGAGTCAGTAACGGCACCTTGCTGGTCAGGCTGCACTCCGCTGGCCCGGCGCTGACCTCTGCTGGACGCTTTGACCTTGAACCAGACGCGGGGCTCGGTTCACTTTGGCGCCGCAGCTGTGTGTGGAGCGAGCTGGACGTTATTTGCGGAGGGATTAGTTCAGCTGCGGGGGTCCAGGGGATGTTAGCTGGAGTACAGCTGGATGGAGTGAGAAATAGAGTGTTTATGTGTACATAAGGGATGTGTGTGTGATGGGAAAGTGTGCAGATGGCAGGAAAATGAAAGAGGACCGTGCCTCAGTATGGGGGGAGAGAGTATCTTATTCATTGTGTGTGTGAGATGATGACTGATGCGTAAGTACAACAGATAATATTGATATAGCATTAAATAAATCAATACAGTATCTTGTAGGTTCAAATCTCAACAGTAAACTGCTTCTTCAATATGATTCAATAAATATCTTCAGGCGATTGTGTCCGTTTGTAGTGCAGGGTGCCCTACAAGTGCACCTGCTGGTGGAGAAGGAGACAGCCATTGGCTGAGTGTTTGGGGGCAGGGCGTGGCAGCTCGACGTGATTGGCTGCTCGGTCAATGCTTTGTTCTGATCTTGGATGGGGTGGGGGTTTGGTTAGAGGGGCTGGCTATGGGAGACTGGTGCTTTTCCAGCACTCAGAGGATGCGTCTGGCCCCTTGGCTGTGTGTCTCGGATTCCAGCGATCTGATTTGCCATGATGAGCTCGACAACAAAAATGAGAAAATCGTCTTATGCCTTGCAGTATCACTCTATATCTCTTCCTTACTCATAGATCAGTAGCATAAATTATTTTTAAGCATTCGTGCAGGATACTTATCAGTGGCAGGAAGCTCTTGTTTGCTTTTGTATACACTGTACAGTCTTAGGGTGAAAAGCCAAATCACTGGAATCCTCCAAGCAGCCCAAATGGAGTAATTCTGGAGTAATTCTGCTCCTTCAACTGTCAAACTATCATGGTGGGGAAAGAGGTGGAGCAGCTGTGTGCATCTCCACTCACACTGTGGGACTGAGGAGGTGGCCGTGGTTAAGGGGAGACTGGCTAGTGCAGCACCCCTCCCCCACAGCACCATGTTTGCACAACCCTGCACTGTCCAGGGNCATGGTGGGGAAAGAGGTGGAGCAGCTGTGTGCATCTCCACTCACACTGTGGGACTGAGGAGGTGGCCGTGGTTAAGGGGAGACTGGCTAGTGCACCCCCCCCCCCCCCAAGCACCATGTTTGCACAACCCTGCACTGTCCAGGGTTCTGTAAAGCTGCCAAGGCCAAAATACATGAGCGTTTTTCACAATACACATTAAATCTGTGGTTGTGCATGTAGTGTCTCTTCATGAAAAGCATTTTGATCGGGTAATATTCATCGTGCTCCTCTTTTATCCCCTGCATCAATGTCCCTATTTTGTTTGCACTGTAGTACTCTCAAGAGGACTTGAGAATAATACGGCCGTATTTGTTCCATAAACACAATGCTAGAATGGCATGGTCAGGACAGATGTATTTGACATGATTGGAATACACAGGCTATGCAAAGTGCACTCAGGTTCACTGCTGCTGGTGCATCTGAGGTTCTCTGCAGAGGATGTCGATTGATTCAGGTTGTGCTCTCTGGATCCTGCTGAACAAACAGGGTGACGAGCTGTACTACACATCAGGGACGGGGTGCTTGGCAACAAGTACAGAGTAATATATGTCTTGTCCAGAAGGGGGAGCCCCTGGCTGCCTCAATTTGCTGTTTTGATTCATATGAGCCTGTGATCGGACCTAAGAAATGGGAGGGATTAATGGAGAGGGAGCCTTCTTACTGTAAGACAATGAGTTTTATAGTGACTGTTAGGGAGGCCATCAGGGTTACAGGGATGACACTGAACTCACAGGGAATACTTATCACCATATTGTGGGTAGCAGTATCTCACCATGGGAGTAAACTCTCAAACTGTTATCCCTCGTCAGAGTCTGCTGGGAGATGTGGTTCGACACACGGTTGGTCCTCATCTGGCATGCTGCAGAAACGCTGAATGTGGTGACATGGGGTGCAGTTCTGTCAGTCGGCCTGTAGGTGGCGCTACAGAGGTGTCACATTCACATCATAGCCCTTCCACTGTGTGGCCTGTAAGCACACGGCGCCTTATCTCTGCACGGCTCGTGCTATGAGGAGTTAAACTGAACACAGACATTGCTTTAAACCCGTTGAACCCGAACAGCACTCATAATGACCTACATGAATGTAGCTTAATTGGATGTTAGAACTTTACTGCATGTGTCTTTTTAAGCCATAAAATCCTGCCTAGAAACAGTACCTCTCCTGCACACCCCCCCCCCTTATCTAGCACCTACGGCGCGTGATCACCGCTGCTGGAAGCCGGGAGCGGCTGTGAAGTTTCACCCCCGCTTCCGTGTCGCTGCACGGCTCACGCCTCAGATCATACCGGGTCTATGTGTCGGTGGGCACCAGGCGGGCTCTGTTGGCAGCAGCTGGTGTGAGCCCCCTGCAGCCCCCACCACCACATCGCTTGGTTGTACAAGGTTTCATGCCACGCTACGGAAAATAGCTGCAGGGCCGGGGCTTTGCTCGCTGCCGCCGTCGCGTGTTCTGAACTCGCTGGCTGCATTTCATCACTGTGCCACAAAGCACTGCAGGCAGGGGGCGCTGTAAAGGGAGAGAATCCGACTGTAAAGGGAGAGAATCCCACGTCCGGGTTCATCCATGCTGCTGGGTACAGGAACTCTGTATAGTTTGCTAATCTTTTCATTGTGCAAGCAGCATTCCCCAGGAAGACCAGAGCAGGCTGATCCAGCGACCGACTTCCTGTTCCTCTAATCATTCTGGTAACACTTTACTTAAGGCCATTTTAGTGACTTATAAACACATTCATAATGCATTATAATGCATTCATAAAGAATTACAAACATGACTATAAATATTTATCAAAAGGCATTACACATTATAGCCATGTTTATTATGCATTATGAATGCTTTATAATGCATTATGAATGTTTTTGTAAATTACTAAGAACATGGCCGTGAGTAAAGTGTTACCAACATTCATTTACATCGTTATCTACATGGTAGCAGGAGCCATCGCTGCCATAAATTGTTATCCTCAGAATAATTCTACATTTAAGATGAATCGGAGAGCAGCATGGAAGCTCAGTTGGCCGCGATGCTGACTCACACCTCCTGGATTAGGAGTTCCTGTCTTTGCTCTGTGTGTGTGTGTGACGTTTGGTTCTCCTCCTGCAGTTAGGCTAATTGGTGTCTCTAAATTACCCGTGGAGTGTGTGCAGGTATATGCCCTCCAGTGGGCTGGCATCTCATCCAGGGTGTACCCCAGCCATGTGCCCCACACTGAAGATATCGCCCATCAACATCTCATATACTGGACATAGCCTCTTCAGTACCGGGTCACCAAGCACCTGGAGTCTATTCCAGACCTCAGAGGCCAGGAGATCACGGGGCGGGCGGCATCACGGGGCAGCGGGCGGCATCACGGGCGGCGGGCGGCATCACGGGGCGGGCACACTTTGGCCAATTTAGTGATGCCTGTTTGGCTACCACTGGCAGCACAAGCATATCACCATTGTCTGATGAAAACCACTTTTTAACAATAGTGATTTTAAACTATATGCCCATTCTCTCTTGTCTACTCATAGCATTTGAAACTAACTGACCAACGAAAAGATGTTTCACGAAGTCATCTCTTTAAGTAGAATTTATGTTTGTACTAAGTAACATGTGTATTCAGGATGGTCGTTTGAATGGATTACTTTGTATCGCTTATCAACGATTTAACCTAGCTAACTATCATTATTAATTGTGAATATAAGGTGAGATTAGTTCATATCTTGTTGGCTGTGTAAATGTTTTCATTTGTTGTGCTAAGGGTGTCTCATTACGTTGTTTTAAGTTTATTTTTAAGTACCTCATGAGAAAATGCTTTTTTTTTCATGCTCCCCGCAGGGCTGATCGTGTACCTGGGCATGATGGTCGGTGCATTCCTCTGGGGGGGGCTGGCTGACCGCATCGGCCGCCGGCAGTGCCTGCTCATATCCCTGTCCATCAACAGCGTCTTCGCCTTCTTCTCCTCTTTCGTCCAGGGATACAGCACTTTCCTGTTCTGCCGCCTGCTCTCAGGCGTCGGGTGAGAGAACAGGCTGGCATCTCCTCCGTCACGCGCCAGCATTCACGCCAGTGTCATTATAGCTAACGAGCACCGAAACGGCAAATGCAAGAAAACATTCCCGTAAATGGAGAAAAATCAGATGCAAATGTAAAATTAAAAACTGCAAATGTTGCTTCCAAAACTAACTGAAATGAAATTAAAAAGTAAATATGGCAGAAATATATCTTTTTATAATAAAAAATAATAAAACCACATTGGGAAATAAATAAAACTAAACTGGATTTCAAAGGAAATACAAAAAAAAAAGCTAAAAAATCAAAAACATAATAACCCTGATTCACACTGACCTGACAATGTGCCTCACCAGCTCATTGGTCACATTAAATGATGCAGCCACCATTCATATAGTCCATATTGGCAGATTATGACTCTATCGCAAATGAATGTGGATCTGTTATAATATCTTGGTTCTCTCTGGCCGCTGCGTGGCCATGTTAAGCACATCATGCCTGGTTTATGTCTACGATGTGTGTTTTTCAAAAGTCTACACAGCACAAGGAGGTGAGTCACTTGCCTGTTGACTCATTTTCCTTGTAGCCATGAGTATGAGGTAGAAGTGGATTTGACGGGGAGACGGGGATTAGCCGATGAAAGGGAGGATAAGGAGAATAGGAATCTTTATTGTCACTGCACACAGAGCAGTGAAATGTCACTTAGCAGCACTCGAGCCAGCAGTACACCATATGCAAAGTGCATAAACAAGGACAATAAATATAGAGACTGAAGTGGATCGACAGAGGAATGAATATTATATACCAGCGTTTCCTGTTTTCTGCCATGGCACACTTTCCGTAAGGCAGTGTCTGTGTGAAAAACGCTGCTGTGTACAAGGAAGATTCAGATTAGAAATTCATGTGCAGTATTTGTCTAACAGCTCAAAGTGGTAACAAAATATCAAAGAGTTGCAAATTGCAGAATGAATTTTAGCTGAATACATATATGGTGCTTAACGAATTACGTTCACGTTTACAGATTTAACAGATGCTTTTGTCCATAACGACATACAAGTGAGGCAGATAGCATGTTACAAACGTACATGTCAGGGGTCGCGAACCAGATCTATGGAGAGTCGCTGTGGGGGCGGGGTTTGGGACGGCACCTCAATCAGCCAGTAACTGTAGGTTACTGTAGGGGTTGAGAACCACCGCTTTATTATTGGCTGATTGAGAGGTCATCCCAAAAACCCTCACCCACAGCGGCTCTCCATAGATCTGCTTCGCCACCCCTGAACTAGGCTGAGCTTCCAATGAACGCCCAATATGAGTGCAAGCAGTTCTGGACCAGGAGAAACACAACAACTTCTGGAGAACCATCTGGAGTGAGACTGCCTGCGTGGTGGATGGCGCTCAAAGTGGCCTCGCTTTTGCCGATGCACCAGTAATTAACCCCCAGTACGTGTCTCTCCCCCCAGGATCGGCGGCTCCATCCCCATCGTCTTCTCCTACTACTCAGAGTTCTTGGCCCAGGAGAAGCGCGGCGAGCACTTGAGCTGGCTCTGCATGTTCTGGATGATCGGGGGCATCTATGCCTCTGCTATGGCCTGGGCCATCATCCCCCACTACGGTATGACTCTCTGTCGCCCCCACAGGCCTGTTTTTATACAACTGACAGCATCCCTCTTCCCAAAGCTCATGTTTCCATGGCTCTTTAACCAAAATACTCCATTTTTCTATCTGATCTGAATAACAATGACTCTCCGCCTCTCTGTCTTTGTCTAGATGTCTTCCCATCACTTTATCTTTCACTCCCTCTCTTGCTCTTCCTTCTCTCTTTCCAATTCAAATAGCAGTTTTTCCAGCATGACTTGTATTGTAGCAAAAAGACATGCAATAAAATGAGTAAAATAGGAGAATTTGCACACGCACATTTAATTTCCCTTGATTCCCCATTTTTCTCCATTCTCTTTAACGCTCCACACCACCCCCTGCAGGCTGGAGTTTCCAGATGGGTTCGGCTTACCAGTTCCACAGCTGGCGCGTGTTCGTACTGGTGTGCGCCTTCCCCTCAGTGGCCGCCATCGCCGCCCTCACCACCATGCCGGAGAGTCCACGCTTCTTCCTGGAGGTGAGTGGACCCTCGCCATCCTGCCCCCTGCTGACTAATGATCAAACTGCGCGAAAAAATCAACACTGAATCTTTGTAGCCTGACAAACCATCTGCTTTGTTCCGCAGTTCCTTCAGGCTTAATTCCCCCCGCATTCCTAATTACCTACGCTGATGTAGCTTAATTAGATATATTTTACTCATGCATCGCTATCCCTCAGACCCTTCGGAAATGTATTAACGATCGCGTTCCTTTTTTAATAGGTTCAGTAAACCTCGATTGCTCTCCTGTGTGTCTAATGAATTGCTGTTACCCTCATAAGAGTCCGTAATAAGATCCAGAGAGCGTCTGTGACAAGAAGATGTCATTTCACATATTCCAGATGTAATGGCTTCTGCCACAGGGTCTGTCTCACGGTTCCGTCATCTTTGCATGAGGGAGACACGTATTTAATAATAGATCCTGACCACAGTGAGAGAGACCCTCAGTGCTGCTAATTTCAGTGTGCGTGATGAAAGCTAGCCGCTATGCTAACATACCACCAATAGTACTTACCATAGTGTATGAGGTGTTAGCTAGCTTCCACGGTACTATAACCCCAGTGCTGCTTATTACAGTGTATGATATTTGAGGTGGACCACATGGTAATTTACTCCCTATGCAACTTTTCACAGTATGAGGTGTGAGCTAGCCCACATGCTAATATGCCCACAGTGTTAGTGGCTATAAGGTGTTAGCTAGCCGCTATGCTACTTAGCCTACATGCTATTGATGGCCGCAAATGCTCTGGATCTTTTGGCAGAATGGGAAGCATGACGAGGGCTGGATGGTTCTGAAACAGGTGCATGACACCAACATGAGGGCCAAGGGATACCCAGAGAGAGTCTTCTCTGTGAGTCCTGGGAAGACCGCCGCCGTAGCCGTTATCGTTGTTCGCTAATGGGAACAGGCTGAAAAAATGAGGCCATTCAGCCAGACTGACAAGGCCATTATGTACCTCAATTCTCTGGCAATAGCGCCATGCACGGCATCTCAATACATGCAGAATTAATGTTCTTTATAATGGCATTATCCCGCTAATCTTGTGGAATGACAGAAAATGTTATTTTTTTTTGTATTACAATATATTGCCATTTGCCATAATGTCTCCCAAAGCTATTTAACCCTTTATTTGTGGAGAACACCAATGGAAATTAGTATAATATAAATAATTTCTCTTGTCTTTTAAAAGAGCTTGGTTTGTGTAGAAAAATAGGATGTTCTTTCATTAGACTGTATGCCATTGCCAGCATTTAAAAATATGTTAGAATCAGCAAGGAATTAGTTTCGGTTCAACTGGTCACATTAAAGTAAAATGAAGTAAATTACATAAATAACATGGAGTGTTAACATCAAGCAACAACTAACCATCAACATAGAGCATATACAAGTAAGCAAAACAAGACATTACATAAGGTGTAAAGAGACAATCCAGCCATCTTGAGTTGGGGAATCTCCGTACTTCATTTAATCCTGCGTCCCTGTGCTGGGGCTCAGGTCACCGCCATCAAGACGGTGAAGCCGATGGACGAGCTGGTGGACATGGGAGGAGACGCAGCAGTGTGGCACAAGCGCTGGAAGATGAAGCTGCTCAGCCTGTTCCAGCAGGTACAGAAAGGAGAGCGCGGCGGGGCGCTGTGTAGCTTAGCAGGTTAGCCATCTGTGCCTGCAGCCGGAAGGTTGTGGCTGCAATTCCAGCGCCGGCTGAGTAATCATATCAGCATCGGGGCCCTGAATGAGGCCCATGACCCCAATTTTTCAGGTCCCTAACACCTAACTTCCAAAACTCACGCGGTCCACGGTTCACGAATTTCTACAGACTTAGTGAACGTCGGAAATGTAACGAAAGTTCTTCGTTAGATTACATAAGGACTGCGTGATCCTGTAACAAAGGATGAGGAAGCCTGACTTTAGGTCATTGACAGTCTCATTTCAAGCACAACAAAGAATAGACTGAGTGAGGTCTGGAAATTGGTACTTCAGTTACTTCTCAGTGATCCTCAATTGTTTGTTGTACTGATCCTAGGGTATCTGCTAAGTAACTGTAATGGAAGGTGGGGCTGTGTAAGGGGGGGTTTTAGGGTCAGGGCCACAGAAGGTGGTAGGAAGGAGACGATCAGAGGGAGACGTTTGGGGGAATTTGCATCGTGGAGCTACAAGTTTATTTCTCCGTCCCAAATCTGCAACATAAGAACTCAGCCTGTACTATGAGGAATGTTTGAGGTGGGTTATTCAGGTCCAGAGAGTAAAAGTCCAGACCAAGATTTTGTTGAATATAAAGAGTTATAGTTACAGAGAACTCAACTGGTTGGTTAAAACAAAAAATTTGACTGGACTTTTACCCTCTGGACCTGAACTGCCCACCTCTGCTGGGCTGTCTGATAAGTTGGTCCCTGGGGGATGGTGAGTTCGTAGCTGATGAGTGTAATTCAGCCTGGTGAGAAGTCAGCGTGTTTCTGCGCTCCAGGTGTGGAGTAACTTCCAGGCCTGCTTCGCCCCTGAGTACCGACGCACCACCCTCATGATGATGGCTGTGTGGTTCACCATGTCCTTCAGGTCAGTAAGCAGCATCTACTTCTGACTTCTACAAGGTCTATGCAAGTCCTGACCATAAACCTCAGTGTATTTTTACTAAGCTCTACTATATGATGGATTTAGTCAATACGGTGGCCTGTACTACGAAGCGGGGTTATCGGGGTAACTTGTTGGATTTAAGGTAGTCTGGGCAAAATGTAAGTGAGCGAATATGAAGTCCATTTAAACTGTGGTACCTTAAATCTGACAAGTTACCCCGATAAACCAGTAACCCTGCTTCGTAGTACAGGCCACTGGGCTTGTCTGTTCACAGTCAATAATAATAATAATAATAATAATAATAATAATAAGAAGAAGAAGAAGAAGAAATCCTTTATTTGCCATTTGCACAAGTAGAAATACAGGTACATTTCTCTTCGCCTGTCCCCTCTTGCTGTCCTTAGCTTCACTATGTTGTTGTAGTGCCTGGCAAAGCGTACAGTAGCTTATAATTAATAATTAATGATCTCATATTTTACATGGATAATACATCGTTACCCTATGAATTGACCTTTATTTCAAAGCCGCGTTTCCCAGCCCGGTCCCCGGAGACCCACAGATGATCCACATTTTTGCTCCTTCCCAACTCCCTGCCAGACAGTCCACATGTTTGCTCCAAAACGTGGACTGTCTCTGGGTCCCCGAGGAACGGATTGGGAAACACTGTTATAAAGAAAGCCCTTTACACTGAGTTTCTGCCCTTCCGACTTGCAGTTACTACGGCCTGACGGTTTGGTTCCCTGACATGATCAAGTATCTGCAGAAGCAGGATTATGCCAGTCGCACCAAGGTCTTCACCAAGGAGCGTGTGGAGCATGTCACCTTCAATTTTACCCTGGAGAACCAGATCCACCGTAATGGCCGCTACTTCAATGACAAGTGTGTCCCTGCACCAGATTTGCCATAATACATAACGCAGATAATCTACATCACCGCTACATCCTGCTCCTTGATAGAATATGATGTGAAACCCCTGTTTCTGAGATGAAATTTGCTCCAGTTCTGAACACGTATGACTCTCTTTGAAGGTTCATCAACATGAAGATGAAGTCCATGGTGTTTGAGAACTCTGCGTTTGAGGAGTGTTACTTTGAGGACATCACATCGAGCAACACATTCTTCAAGAATTGCACCTTCATCTCCACTCTCTTTTACAACACAGGTGAGGACAGCACATCTTGGGGAGGAATCAATTGTTGCATTTCTCTTTTTTGTAGAATGTCCTGAGTGAGTGACATACAGTGGTACCTCAGTACTCAAACTCATTAGAACTCAAACTTCTTAAAAGTCGAACCAACCAGTTTGAAAAAAAATGACGTAGAACTCGATCTGAATCTCAGAAGTTGAACCGTGAACGCCGACCTAAGATAACTTGTACACGTGAGGAAATGAGTCACACGGCACATCTCTCAGCGGAAACAAAGGGTAACGCTTCAGTCTCAGCCTCGCATTCTCTGTGATAGCATCGTTTGTTTGTGATAGTGCTTTTTTTATTGAAAATATCAGGTAATACACTGTACTTTATATCATTTTGGTAGCCATTGCTCACCAAAAAGTTATGTAATAAAAAATGTGGGGCATGGCCTGGGGTAGTGTTGGGGTAGTGTTGGGGCATGGCCTGGGGTAGTGTTGGGGTAGTGTTGGGGCATGGCCTGGGGTAGTGTTGGGGTACATTCTTATCGTTTTAGAAGCCATTAAAAAAATGTTATGCACGGCGTTTATTTTCTTACTTCATAAATTACTGTTTTGATAAATATGCTTAGATGTGTTTAGTATATATATGCGCTTCTTGTTTTATCCTGTTCATTTTGTGTTTAAATGCTAAAAGAAAAACATGTTTAGGTGTAATTTTTTGGGGCCGGGAACCAATTAATTGGTTTCCATTATTTCTTATTGGGAAATTTTCGATCAGAATTCTTAGGATTCGAGTTCTGAATTGATTAAGTTTGAGTTCTGAGCTACCACTGTACTAAATTAAGTTTAATTGTGATACTGTTTTCATAATTATGTCACATGCAGTCTTGAGCCTACTGCTGCTCCTTGTATTTTGAGTTTGTGTTCTCTGTTACAGTTTTTCTGGACATCATCTGTAATCTTTAAGAAATTATTCATGTTCGTATGCATAAAGAGAACACCCAGAGCTGTGGTTACAGAAAATAAAACATAACATGATGTCAACAAAATTATGGTTGTGGCCAGTGTTGGTACTTCAGGTCCAGAAACTAAAAATCCAGACCAAGATTTTGTTTCTACCAACCAGTTGAGTTCTCTGTGACTGCGACTCTTTATGTTCACCTGGTTGGTAGAAACAAAATCTGGGTCTGGATTTGTAGTTTCTGAACAGGAAATGCCCAGCACTGCTTATGACAAATGGTGAAGGATTAGCTGCAGAAAATATATCAGAATTAGCTGGTAGGACACACCTAGACGTCATTTTCACAGCCAAAAAGTATGGCTGACGTGGATGGAAAAAAAAACCCAGCTTTTAGTGTGAAGACACACGTTTACTTCCTTTTCTCACACTTCCTGCCCTGCCACCCAGATCTGTTCAAGTACAGGTTGATCAACAGCCGTCTGATAAACAGCACCTTCCTGCACAACAAGGAAGGCTGCATCCTGGACTTCAGCGACGACAACAACGCCTACATGATCTACTTCGTCAGCTTCCTGGGCACACTCGCCGTCTTGCCCGGCAACATCGTGTCCGCCCTGCTAATGGACAAGATCGGACGTCTGAGGATGCTCGGTAGCCATTTTGTTGACTTTATTGATGTTGATGTCAAGCTATGACTTAATAACCTTGTAGTTTATCCTTAATCTAACCAGTTTACCAATCAGGTGAAAATATGACCACCACCTGCCTTTCTGATGTGCTCAGGCGAGTTTTACTTTCACAAAAATGTTCTGAGGGCAGAAGGAAAAAATGACTGGTTCAAAGCGATAACCAGTCAGATTGTAGAAGAGGTGGGGTCAGGCAACTAGAGGAGGCGGGTCCAATCAATAAGATGCCTCCTCTAGTTGCTTGGACCCACCTCCTCTACACTCTGATTGGTTATCTCTCTGATCATTTTTCCTTTTGCCCTTAGAACATTTTTGTGCAATTGAGCTTCTGATGTCAGTCATTGTGATATTACAGCATCCATTCCTTTCTCATTTTCGGTTTTCTTCTCCTCCTCCTCTTCATCACTGCAGCGGGATCCAGCGTGATGTCGTGTATCAGCTGTTTCTTCCTGTCATTCGGCAACAGCGAGTCGGCCATGATTGCTCTGCTCTGCCTATTTGGCGGTATCAGTATTGCCTCTTGGAATGCCTTGGATGTCCTGACAGTGGAGCTGTACCCTTCGGATAAACGGTAATCCCCTCTGCCCCATCAGTATCTTAGCATCTATTGGTGTCACTCACCATGACCATGTGTTGGATAAGCAGTTATGGGAGATGGATGGATGAATGAGTGATTTGTGTTTAAATAATGCTAATCTTTAATCACTAAAATGCTATTCCCTCCTTTATGCTGAGAACAGTGCCTGTCTGCAGCACTTTGACCGCTGCTGCATTAACCGTATTCCTTTTTCGGTACAGGAATGAATCTAGAGTTTCATGCATTTCATGACAACAGTTGCCTGTATTGTTAGGACAGCATGTTACAGCACCACCTGGTGGTGAGATATAATATTTGCAAATATTTTCCTTTTCGTAGTTTCTGTCAGCTTTCTAATGAAACAATGTGGATCAAATATCAAATGGAAGTAGTGTATAATTTCCTTTTAATCAATGATTTCAGCTACAATTAACTAAAATTAGCATTATCCAATTCCATTCATAATGGTTTAATGATGAAAAATGGGCTTCACATCCATTTTTAAAAAGCTATACGAACTTGCTGACACATAATCATTCCTGTGCCTGCAGAACAACAGCGTTTGGTTTCCTCAACGCCCTCTGCAAGCTGGCAGCCGTTCTGGGCATTAGCATCTTCACCTCCTTCGTGGGCATCACCAAAGCCGTGCCCATCCTGTTCGCCTCGGGGGCACTGGCCGCCGGCAGCTTCCTGGCCCTCAAGCTGCCTGAGACACGGGGCCAGGTGCTGCAGTAGGGTGCTGCCACCAGCAGAGGGAGCAGTGGAGCCCGAGCAGCCTCACTGTGACCTGAGCCCACCCAAGCCCCAGCCCCATAATCCCAGGTGACTGCGAGGGGGCCACATGTTGCAAGCTACACCTATAAACCACAGAACAACCGTCTCCATTATCCGGAAACCAGTGACAATCACTTTTCAGCTGCTTCAAGGTCGAGTATGTTTTTGAGGTTAAGAACCTTCTTAAAGTCCAAGTGAATGCTGTGCTCTGTGTTGAGCTGAAACATATGTTGTGTTTGGGTTAAACTGGAGCATCCTCTCCCAGGAGTTGTCCAAACATGTACAAAGCTTTTTGCTGGGTAATATTCCTTAAATGTTAGGTTTCTTAACTTTATTGTGTTGTCCATATACTCAGAAAATATTCAATATTTGGCCACATATCACTGTCCTGTCCGACAGTCAACTGTACGTGACAGAGATAAATCCCCCCCCATTTTGTACAGCACAAAGCTTCACATTACTAGGCAAACCATCTTCAGGAATTATTTATCCAACTGGAAAGTTGCAAACATGATTAACATCCATTCTTCAACATGAAGTTGTCCCTGGAACTATGGGGCGGGACTGGTGGCCTTAACTTTGAGCCATGTAAAATTTTCCCTTTCCTATTCAATAAAGACACATTTTACTCAGAAAGCTACCACAAATACCCATCACATAAACAATGGACTGCGGACAGCCAAGGTCACCCTCACGCCTTCTTATGGGTAGCTGAAATTTTTCCCATCAGATGAGGGACAGACACTTTTTTGCATTTTAGATGACCTTCATCTGAAGGTACTGATGTCCATGGCAACTGGGTAAATCCTTTGATACCTAAGCTAGCTGAACCAAGGCCCATTTTACCCTCTTTACCAGTGAAAATGCAGAGATATTGTATGTTTCTTACAGTAATTAACTGTAGCTTAACTGTCATTAATAGATCTAGTACATTCCAGGTTTACTTTCTCGTGATCAGGGTAGAGGGATAACAGCACTTTTCAGTTCAGCTGAAGCAGAAACAGAAGAACTGAACTCGTATTCTTGGGTGGAACCACTTAAAATTCGTCTTTATTGAAAATTATAATGCTCTGCCAGTCAGTCTGTGTAGCATTCAGAAATGCTTGCAAAGCCGATGTCAGAATGGATATTGAGACTGGTGGAATTCGCCCTTTATCTTAATGTACGCTCCAGATCTCACCATATTCTGCCATCGTGGAATAGTGGTCTGCTGGCGGGGAAGATGAACCTTACAGCACTCCAGTTTGAGCAAGTAGCTCACTGGCATTTTGGACGACTTCCTAGAATTTTTCTGATGTCCTTGAAAATCGCTGAAGGATCTGGGGGTTGAATTACATTCAGGACATTGACTTGCTTCAATAATATCCCCCCCCCCCGCTCTCCCATTTTGCCTGAATGCCACGAGTGACTGGTTTTTGTTTTAGTGTTTTTCAAACCTCAAACAATCATACTTCCCACAAAAAACCAAGGAAATGAGCAGTAAATAAAAACAGTTCCTTTATGCCTCCATTATTATCAAAGGATTAATAATCAAGTAAAGCCTATAAATCCCGGTGCTGTGAAGGAGCGAAAACATGGACCGTCTGTGGGTCCCCAGGGACCGGGTTGGGAAACATGAATTCTTTAAAAAAGGCAATTAAAGGGGCTTGTATGCTGGACTAAAAATTCCAAAACATGAGAAATAACCATGCCTTTGATACGAAGCAATGCCACAATACGATCTGCTATCCGTGGTCCAGCATGTGAGTTGATGTTGTTTTAGTTTTATCAGAGTGCATGTATATCGTACACATGGTAGGACTGAGGGGCTGATACTCATTAGGCTGTTTTAACTATAAGCCATCTCTGATCTTCTCTTCACAGACCTTTGTCACCCTTCTTAACCCCGCCCACATTCTACATAGCCACCCCCCATCATTTGTGGCCACACCCTTGTGATGTTGGCCACACCCACTTTTCATAGCCCCACCCCTAGTCTTTGAAGCCAAACCAAATGTGCTCCTTCTCTGTTTTGGTTGTGTAGTTATCAACAGCGTTAGGTGTGCGTGTTTTGATAGGAGATCAATTGTCCATGGACGTGAGTGAGACTGTCGTCTTTCAAACCGTCCAAAGAAATTGGGCAAAAGATTTAGAAAAGCACAACGTGGTCCAAACAGATATTACCAATGTAGGTTTCTTTTTAAAATAATTTATGATATATAAACGTAAATAAATGAAAACCTGAAAAGAGGTATTATTACTATTATTGTGGGGGAAAATGTTCTAGCTATTTCAAAAGAATATAAAGTAAAAGAGAGAATAAATAAACTTCCTGTTTCAGTTTATGTAAAACTGTAGCAAGACGATTAGTCTTAGATTTATATATGATATATGTATATATTTTGGTTTATTTATTGATGGTGGGTAAAATCACATTGTTTTAAAGCAAACAGATCTATTTTATTGATATGCAGTGTGTTTGTTATTGTTGTCTTTCATGTCTTAGGCCATGAACATGGAGACTGGAGTGTGTTCATATAAAGTATCTGTGGGCATATGAGTGTGTGAGTCGGACTGTGTGTGGATATGCAGTCTGAGTATACTATTAAATGTATTCTCTTTTTTTATTATTTTTCTACCTATTTAACACCTGTGTATAATTGAAGTCCAGTTGTTGATTGTTTTGTGATAAATGTTACTAAAGGGAGTGAAAGTGAGGAGAGTTTTCAGAGCCGCAGTGAGGAGCTGGAATGCATTTTTATGCTCAGAAAGCTTAGACGGTCATTGTCTCCGGCCTCCTGACTGATCCTGATGCAGCTCCAGTTTATCTAAGATCTGAATTACCCAGCATCCAGATCCACACGTTTCTGCAGTTTTGTTAACACGGGGTTTTAACTGGTGCTGGAGTTATTTTTAACATTTAAATGATAGATTTTTTAGTTTTTTAGTTTTCTAAAACATGTAAACATGGTTGGAAACTATCTACGATTATTAGTGAAAAGAGCATTTTAAATTCCAGCAAACAAACAAACAAAATGCTTTTGTCTCTCAAATGTATGATAATAGGGTTAAGCAGCAGCTTCAAACACTTCATGCTGTATTTTTATTTTTTTTGTTTCAAAGTTGTGGCAAGAAAAATGTTTCTGTTTTTTGCTTTGATGTCCTTCTTTAGTAGGGGCTGGTGGTGGGTACAGCTGGCGTTTTGGTGAATGCCACAGGACACACTGGCATCCAAGCGACCTCCTCATGTTTCTCCATTGTGCCTCCTGATCTGCCAGATGTTGGCTGGTTCTTTCAGTGGTCTCCCCTTGGCTTCCTTGTGGAACGCTGACAGAGGATAATTTCAATTTCAAAAAACAAATTCAAAACAATTGACACAAATACATTTACACTGGCAGTTAACCATGACCACAGCAACATGACCATTCCTGTGGTCCAGCATCTCCTGAAACAGCCAATGTCCAGACGACTCACTTCACATGCTAGAGGTGAAAGTCCTAGAGTTCCGCCTTTTGTAACAGCAAATAGCACAGAGATAGAAAAGCCCACAAACAAGACAGGGTTTTCACGCCATAAAGATGTCTTTATTTTAACCAGGTAATAGAAAACAACAGCACAACATTAGATTTGTACTCTAAGGTCTGAAATCTAAGGGTGACTTGTGAGCTCAGTGGGCAAAGCAGTGGAAAGGTAGCAGTGGACCAAAAAAGCACTAAAAAACTAATGTACTGTGAGCACAATGCTACACAACCTGCCCGTTCATCGCCACAGAAGGGCTCTGTGACAGTATGCTGTGCTCATTCTAACATATTTGGCCTCCTGATTGGTGGATGTCAAAATGCCATGTTAGCGTTAGTCTTTCCAAGGCTCTGTTCTGCTTAGTCCATCCAACATTCAGTTTAACTGTCCATCGTGTGGCTGTGCTGTCAACTGTCCACTTGGGGCCCCCTCGCACTAGTACGACCCCCCCCCCCAGCTGTAATGACAATCAGCATGTTTCACATCTTCTTGTTTTCCTCCTCTTGAATAAATGGCTCAGCAGCGAGTGAAATGCATTATCTCTGAAACGAAAGGCGATAAAATAGTGGAACAGTATTGATGGTATTGGACTGGTCTAGAAGATAGGTCACTACAGCTCCTGTTTGTTATTCTTAAACAATGTTAGAAATAGTGTTTGGTTTCGTCCAATTCATCAAACCCATAGAGAGACTGATGTCTTCTTAAACTCGTAAAAATATTTTTTATTTTTTAGCGACCAGCTGAACACTTCATTATGATGTAACAAAGAATATGAAAGCATTTACTGTAATTTGTTTTGGTTCCAGGCACGGCCACCAAACCAGGCCAGCTGTGATCCCAGCCCCCCCCCCTTTAAAAGCACATTGACTTTGGAAAAATGGATTAATATTGGCTGTCAGTTAGGAAGGATGCGTAGCATGCTTGTGGTCAGAAATGTCTTTCGTATATCGATCGTGTGTTTATTTGCTAAATCCTAATATGACGCATTGATCCGTTTCTCTGTCGTGCAACATCGATCCCCGTGTGATGCTTCGTAAACGATTTCTGCAGAGTGCTACAGCTTGGTTCTGTTACCATCCTCCTTCGTAAAACCTTTACGTAACGATAACTAAGGACTGTGGTTTTTTTTTTGTAATTCTGGGGGTGTGGTTTGACCGATTTTTCCATTCGGAGACTGGGGAACGACATTATGTGCAAGCTAATCGAAGCAATAATAGATACAAGCGTTTCCGCTGCTGTGGCTCCACTGCGGAGACCCCACTGAAGTTCAGCACACAGACGCTGCAGGTTTCTCTACACACCAGGCTACATGCGGATAAGGCCCATGTGTCCGGTTCCTCGCCAAGAGCCCCCAGTTCTGTGAAAGCTCTTATCAGATATCGGTTCTGTTTTGCCATTATTTCAACGTGAGTGGGATCTTAACATGTTATCACTGTACTGTGCTGTAGAAAATCGTAGGTGTTTGTATGTGAATGTATAAATAAGTGGGGAAAAAAATCTTTAAAAAGGCACAAAAAACAACAACCTAAATTACAGAACACTATTGTATGTTGTCTTTAATTTGTGTGTTTTGTAAAAGAGAGTTGGAAAAAAGACCTGAATAAACATCAGTAACAAATACTACTGGATATGGCGAGTATTTTCCTGTAACGCTGTCGAGGTGCTGTTTTACGATGTGTGGGAGGTTCATTCCTGTCTTTTTGTTGTCCTTGTTCAGATCAGCGGAGTTTAAAATTATGGTGATTGACAGTCGATACTAAACTAAAACTTATAAGTGCTATAATAAAAAAAATAATGTAAACTGGTTTTGACTTTGTTTTGTCTCCACATTTACTGTTTTGTTGTTATTCAGGGTGGAAGGCCTTACTGTATATATCGATCTGGTCTTCTTTTTAAAACAATGAAAACAAAGTATGTACATATTTCATTGAGCGTTTTGTGTAGTGTCTTAAAGGACTGCATACAATATTTGTAATTACCGTGGTAACCATTAGCAAGATGGGAATGGGACATATCTGTTCAGTTTTGCCAGCAATTGTGATAGATAATATCACTATTAGATGCCATTAAATGTTAGATTGAAACTTCCGGCAAAGATACTGCTTAATTTGCCTTTTGTTTATTAAAACAATCCATTGGTTCATCAAACAGTTTGCCCCATAAGTTAGCAGGATAGCGATTTGCTAGCAAGGTGACTGCTGTGACCTCAGGCAATTGAGGAACAGATCTACTGTAGTCAAAAAGCATTACACCATGGTAGGGACTTCATCGCTTCCACCATCACTGTACTGTGAATGTGTGAGTATCATTTTGTTCTTTTGATTTGTGTTCTGCCTCTTCTGCATCTTTCCCTCTAATTCCGCTTTAAATCGGCTGACCTTGATCTTAATCTCAAATCTGACAAACGAATTGCATCTCACCAAGATCCCTGTACGATTTCAATCACGCTGACACACGTCGTCCACCAGGCGGCGCCAAACAGCCAAAGAATACGAGTTTTGTCTGCGCGTTTTTTTTAAGTCTTCGGGGATTCAAATAGTTATTTTAGATTAACGGGACGAAATGTAATTCTACTCAAATAATTAAATATCAACATTACGGAAGCACCATTCAACGTTTGGGTGCTTGAGTGGCGTTTCGAAAAAGATGTTTCGCCTGCCTGAGTGTGGAAGGCCGTTGTGTATATACAGGTATGATTTGTAGGTCTATCTTTAAATACAAGTCAAAATAAATATCTTAGTATTCTATGCCAAAAACTGGAAGCCAAATTTAAGTTATATTTTGTTGTGTGTCCCAGTGTTTCGCTGGGATATGGCGGAATCTGCATTCATTTGTAAAGACGGCTATTTTGTACTGAACATTAGGATTCATCCGTAATGCAAGCGATAAAAGGACTTTGACCAAATAATTCTTTTACAACTAGGTACATTTATTTCATTAAAAATATCTTTGTTACGTGGCCATGTACGGCCTAAGCGTCCGAATGGAAATTCACACATTTTCTTTGAACTTGCATTTATTTAATTTTATTTTTTACATTTTACATCTGATAACTGCAGCAACTATTTATCGACTTTGCAACGTTTTTGGATCTTTCATTTGCCGACTCCTGGACCTTATCGTATAATTTAGTGTACCTACCAGGAAAGTGAGTATAAAAGTGAAGTTTATTTATATTACTCGATAAGATATAAAAGCCTGCGTCGCAGACGAAGCCACACAGACCTGAAATGCGTATTCAGCTTGAGGGCAGCTTAACCCCTTAATGCAGGTACGAAAAGAGAAATGAATCCTTCATATAAAACGCATATTTATTTGTCTATGTGACGTACAAGACCATAACTGAATGTAAGGTAACATAGGAATATATTTCAGTAGTATGGCAGACATAAAATGTATGTGTTTTAAATATACTAAAAGTGTGACGAAATTTCACAGAGAGCAAAGCAATAACACGTTAATATAAATAAACATAAAAAGCATGATGTGGAAATAGTGCATTAATTACAGAGGAGCATGCTCCTGCAGTTGTATATCGAGTTGTGACATAAGGGCTCAGTGGATTGACCTATAACTCTGGAAGCCAGTATGTTACTGTCAAAGATGGTTGTACGGCCAGAGTTGGGAGTCCCTTAGGGAGCTTGGGATAGCGTGGAGGCTGAAGGGGGTCTACTTTCCCAGGGTCGTGTCAGCCGGTCCCCACAGCCGCTCCTCGGTGGGTCTGCGAGGGAGGCTCCGTGACTGGTGTCACCTCTCGTCCGCAGAAAAAAGCAAACAATGGCCATGACCACTTTATGGCCCCATGCGTTACAGGGGGGCTGTTTAGTTTGTAGGGACAGACCGAGTGCAGATGGACATTAAGGTGGTGTCGGGGGGGGGGCAATCGGCGTGGCTGAAGATGGCTGTGACTACAGAAGGAGGGACACGGAGCCTCTCTGGGAGGTAGAAGTTTGGGAACTGCAGAGCTGCAAGGCGTGATGGGTAATGAATGCCAGATGCTGTCGTGCTTTAGCTAGGTGCCTTAGCCGACTCCCGCACCCCTCCTCCTTGATGCAGCCTAGATTGATCCCAGAGGTTGTGGATAAATCACCCAGAGCCAATGAGGAGTATTTACCGCCTGAGTGGGTTTGGTTTGCTCTGTTGATGTGGGATTTTGCCTGGGAATTTTGCAGGCTGGTGGAGTAGGGGAGGGGGGTTAAGGTGGTGGGTGTCCTGGAGGGAACTGGGAGGGGTTTCTTTATGCCCTGGGGGTAGGAGCAGACACAGAGATAGCTGACTTGGGCTGGGCTGTGTTGGGTGCGGCCCCTCTGGTCACCTGAAGACTCCTTGAAATGGATCCATGTAATTTTCCATTTGCTTTACTTCCATCGGTTTCTGTCTCAGCAGAACATAAGCGTGATTATTTTAGTGAAAACATCTAATAGAGCGAAATGTACCCCAGCTGAACTATAATTCCGCCATAGTTTAGCGTTACGCTCATCGTTACTGAAAAGCCCCAGAATTATTACATCCTATGGGAATAATAGATCTAGTCCAGCTGACCAGTGAGACCTTAAAGTCCTACTTGAATTATAATTTATTTGAAAATGAATGTATGAAAACAATGCGTACACAAACCATAAAATATTCCATTTCTAATATTTGGTGTGAATGATATCATAGACTTGTTTTCTTTGGACTCCAATATTTGAGAATAAATGGAAATATGTTTTTTTCTTGTATGACAATGTTTTGCAGTCTTTAAATATTCAAGATAGTTGCATCTAAAAAAATTAGGTTTAATCATTGAAAATACTCACCATGTGCTTTGACAACAGCTTCACAAACAGAGAATTCTGTTAAATTTTCGCAGGAAATCCCAAGCCTTCTGCTCCACTCCTCATAGTTCTTGTTACTTGCTTTTCCTTGACTCGTCTATCCAGTTTTTTCCACACCAGTTTTATGAGATTGTGGTCTGGAGCCTGACTGGCTGGATTGTAAGACTCAGTTGTCCGTTACTTTCCTTATGCGGCGGCTAATTCTTGCACAATTTTGAGGTGTGTTTCAGGTTGTTATCTTGCAGATGAATGAAGGACTGCCCAATCAGTTGTAATCCTGGTGGAATGGAATGCCTTTGAAGTATGCTATGATAACCATGCTGGTTGAGATTGACATGGATTTGGTAAAGATCACCAGCTCAAAGCAACCCCAGGCCATGTCATTGATTTCTCCTGGGAACCACATATGTAGAACTTATGCACTCACCCCCTCCGTGACTTATAAATGCATGGTAATTTGACCCAAATATTCCAAACGTTTGACCATTAGTTAGGGGTTATGGTTGTCTTTTACATTAAGGATATGGTTAGGGTTAGGGCTAGGGTTGGAGTTTGGATTGGCATTAGGGTAAGGGTTAGCATTAGTGTTAAGGTTGGTGTTGCATTAGGGTTCTGGTTCACAGTAGGCTTAGTGCTAGGTTTGGTATTAAGGTTAGAAGTAGGTTTAGGAATAAGTTTAAGATTGGCATCACCGTAAAGAGCGCTAATTTACAATTGTGCTAGAGTTGGGATAGATTTTGGCATTAGGGTTGGTTTTAGGATTTAGTTCAAATCGGGATTAAGATATACTTTCAGCAAGGATTTTATGGCAAATGTGGCATTTCTCTTTTATCCTTGTTTATCATGGAAGTAATATGGTTCATTGATATCTCAATTAGGTTTTAGATTAAAACTGAAAGTAGGTGAGCTCTAAAGCTTTTGCTGCTTTCACAGACAACATTTTTGCCAAAGTTACCCCACTGTGACCCAGGAGCTTATATGAAAGGTAAATAAGCAAAGCTTTGGAAGGGACGTCCCCACAGGTGGGCGTGGCTGACAAGTCATTGGTTAGACAGTGGAGATAATCTTGCCATTAATATGAGAAGAGAGCACAGAAAGTAGCTGTGAGCTCGATACTTCATATTAATGCTGTTTGAGTATGTATGTAGTAATGTAGAGAGTATAGTGATTAATAATAATACCAGTAGGTAATACAGTGAAAGGCTCAGGCAGAGATTATGGTGCCGTATCCATATTGCAGCTCTACCACACTTTGACTCTGCCTGCTGTCAGTGGATTGACGCACGTCCAGGTTCCTCGGCTTGTTCTAGATGTTTAGTCCCCAAGGAGTGAGTGAGAGCAGCCGAGGCACCAGGTAGTATAATGAGTTGGAGGAGTTGAATTGGTGACCGGAAGGTTGCTAGCTCATATCCCAAAGAGCAGCAGTTAAGTTAGAATGGCAATTAAGTTGGAGCGCAGTGCTGTACCGCTGAAAGTGTGAGGTTTCAGTCAAAGGCAGCTTGTAGGTGAGCAGAATGCGTTTCTGAATGATTAAGCTGAGCACAGCTCTAAAGACAGATGATAAACAGGGTGGGGGGGGGCACAGCAGGAGTACAGAGAGAAAGAAGTGCTGAGTGAGAGATAAGGGAAGGAGGAACGGAGGAGTGTTCCATGCATTCCTGCTCGGAGGTCGTGTGTGGACAGGCCTGGCTTACACTCCAGGTCATACCCAGGAGGTCCAGCCCCACCCTCGTCACCTGTCAGCCACACGCCCTTCGGCGGAGACCAATTCACCCGCTATGAGCCGCTGACGCTCTCCGAGTCGAT